GCTTGTTTTAATCAGGGAGCACCACCAAACACTGTCTACCATGGGTAACCATTAACACATTTGATACATTAGTAATCACAGTGTTCAGCTTCACAGCAAGCACAAGTTACCTCTGTATAGCAAGTGGATACACCAGGACTATACAACCTAGACGAATGTTTAAACAAAAACAAAGAAAAACAGACCTCAGGACCATGGATTAGAAGTCACTCACCTTTGGCTTGGTAGCACCACTTTCTTTCCACTAGGCCAATAGACCTGAGTAAATCAGTATATAATAAAAATTTTGTTTAAAACAAAACAAAAAACCAAGGCAAAACAAATAAGTCTTCTCCTAAAAAAACAGGCCAGATCATTTTCTCAGTGACACCCAAGAGAGAAGATGATAAAAGAAATACACCAGTGAGAAGTTCCAAAAATTGGTACTTAAAAGTTAAAGATGATGAAAGAAAGAAATGAAATTATAAATACAGTGGTACAAAAATTAAAAATAAGTCATCACATGACAGAAAGAATACAACCAATATAGTACTAGAAACATTAGTTGCAGGTGTTGTTTATTGCTGTATAGTTGAGCACAACTCATAACCTTTCTAAAACTATCGTCATTTCTCAAAATTCATAGACTTTCCAGACGCATGTTGTTTAGGAAGTGGATGCCACTTTCGCTTCTAAAGGGTCACTAGAAAAGCATGAAAATGCAATTGGGGATGACAAAACCAATATGGCATATAATTTCAACATATTAAGGGGGGGTAAGCATGAGAGAAGAAGGGGAACAAAGAGTAAGTGAGATAAAACACAATAACCTTAATGAGAACTTCAGAGAAGGAAAAATTAAAAAAAAAAAAACAAACCTAGAGAGAAGGCAGAAGAAAAATGAGGAAAATATAAGAATCATGGAATGACATCAAGCAAAATGACATATCTGTTACTGGAATTTCAGGATAAGAAACAAGAAAAACACAGAAAATTGTGAAAGATATAATAGAAGAAATTTTTCCAAATATGAGATACACATTCAAGAAGTCAGTGGACTCCAAACAGACTAGATTACAAAAGAAAAACATTAAGACATATCATAGTCAAATTCTCCAAAATGAAAGACAAAGTTAGATTACTAAAAGAAGTATGAAAAAAATCAGAGTCAACTATAAAGAAAAGCCAAATATATTAAACCCTTCCCTGAAGAAACCACAGAAGCAAGAGAATAGTGGAAATGATATATGAATAAGGCTGAAAGAAAGCAATTGCCTGAAGAAGATCTTTTACCCAGCAAAAATGCTCATAAAATATTAAGAAGAAAATGAGCAATTTCCAAAAAAAGCAGGAACTTAAGAAAACAAAACTAACTCTATAAATGATACTAAAAGAAGTCATTGACACAGAGAGAGCAAAGGAAAATGGATTGAAAAAGGAACCAGCAAGAAGAACAACAAAAGGAATGAAACAAAATAGCAATGATAAAATTTGGCCTGACACAATTGAAAAAAATTTACAAAATTTATAAAATAATAAAATTCGTACCGAATATGAATGTCTTACATGCATCAATTAAGCAAAAAAAGAATAGCAGAATGGATGAAAAACCAAATCCTGTCAATATTGTGTTACAAGAAGAAAGACAGACTAAAAATCTGAGTGTGGAAACATATACCAAGCAAATGGCATCCATGAGAAAACAGGAGTGGTAATACTTAGCTCTGATAAAATAGACTTCATGGTGAAAATTGCTAAAGAGAGAAGGAAGAACAGAATGCAATTACTAAAATGACAATAGAACAAGAGTACAGAGACAAAGTTAATACCTATGCAACAAATGACATACATGCAATACATCAAACAAACATTAATAGACTCTCCAGAAAACCTCAAAAACTAAACACCACCAAAATAGCAGTTGGAGACCTCAACATATAATTCTCACCAACTTCAAGTTGATTACTTCAACTTGAAGGAAACTCAACAAAGACACACACACACACACACACACACACACACACACACATACATCAATACAATTAGACAACATGCCCTTATAGACATGTTTAAGGTACTTCTTCCAACTAAAACCCAAATTACTTTCTTCTGGAAGAGCATAGGTACATATGTCAGAATCAAACATATATAGGACTCAGAACAAGCCTTGACAAATTAAAAATATCAAAATAATACAAAGTAGTGTCTTCTCAATCTCAACTCCATGAAACTAGAAATTAACAAGAGGATAAATGAAAAAAAAAAAATTCAAACCCTGAAACAAAACAACCCAAAAAACCCCACCAATTTGGAAGCTAAACACATTTTTTGAGCACTATTGGGTTATAGAAGGAATATAATATGAAATTTAAAAAGTTCATCAAATTCAATGAGATCTTAAAGATTTTATAGGGTAAGGGTTTAAAAAATGTAGAAAATAACTGCTGACAAACTTGAAAATATTTACACAGCTAAAGATATATCTTCATGTTTGGTGTACAGTTTACATCTTCACTTATTCTTCTATCACACACAACTTAAAGACTCATCAAAAATCTTTTATAATTTCATCCCAATTCTGTACCAAGCAATTTACAAGTTTTATCATAACAAACTTTGTTATGTGTTTCTGAATAACAGTGATTGTATACTAAAAATTAGAAGTGACTTATGTTAGTGCAGAGTTAGCCTAAAAGCTGAATTTTTTAAGCCAATTAGCTCCCTTTGATCTCCAGCTACCTTAATTGTAGAAAGATAGTCTTGCAATTCATCCACACATTTGGAGCTAGGCTAAAGGAAAGAATTTTCCCATACTGAGAGGCAAGTCTTGAGGGAGACTGGAGCAAGACCCAGGTGAGAATAATGGTGGTAGAGAGACTGTGATGTTGTTGTGGAAAAACTGTGGCAAGGGCTGACCTGTGCCTTCTTGTATTTCCATTCACCACAGTTAAAGGTTTTCCTGGTCTTGCTGGAGGCTTGAAGGAGAAACTTTCTTATAACTGCTCTCAGGCAAACCGTGCTGGATGATTGAGAAAACCAGAGGCTTTTTGAATTTATGTTGCTGAACTTAACTGGACTTTTATTAAAACTGGACTTACATTGTGAGGGGTCCCTTGCCTCCTCCACTATCCAATTTACTTCTCTAATAAACCCCATTCTCAGTAACACAACTGTGCGTCTGTGAATCAACAAGGAATAAACAAACCTCTTGCTGGTAGAGTGGCTCTAGAAGTACCATAGGACAGGGCTATGGACTTATCTGCTTTCTACTCTGAAGCAGTAAAGGGCTCTGCTATTTTCACTCCCTCTGGCCCTTTCAGAGAGACGCTCACATATCCTATTTTCTGCTCTTTAGACAATTAGTTTAAAGGTATTTTTCTAAACTGAGTCTAATTTGTTCATTGTTTATAGTTTGTTTCTTTTACTTAAAGTCTGAACAAATCTCACAGTAACTTTTAACATTAACATTTAATTCAGATAAACTCCTTCTAGGTATATAGAAACATTTATAAATCAGGGGAACCATCATAAAAATGAAATCATATATCTACCATAAGTTTTCGGTGATTAGTTCAAGTAAGTGTTATTTGCTATGTTTACAGAACTGGGAATGAAATAATAATTAAGATAATTCTTAATCTCTATATATATAATTTTGGGCAGAGAAACTGAACAGAAACAACATTCACTGACTATATAATCTTACAGACTGAAGTATTTTATTGACTATTGCTTATGTGGAAAATCTTGGGACATATTATTTATAAGTTATAGGTAGTAACAAGATAGAATTAGTTCTTAAGAAAAAAGATGTCGTTTACAGTTAACATAGAGCTAAAAGATCAATTCTCTTATTTCATTTTTTAAGACTAAAATGTTTAATAAATTAGTTAGTCCTATGATACATCTTTTTTATTTTTTGGTATTGAAGCATACTTTTTACATTTTATTTCATTTTTTCCTAACTTTCAATTTAATCTTAAATGTTATTTATATTTAATAGTAATAAGCAGACACTAATAAAATTCTTTAACCTTAAGAGACTTTTATTTATGCAATGAAATTAAAGGTTTGTTTGAAACATTGGCTTGATTTCTAAGTATTTAAAGTTAAGCCTCATGATTGACACATGAAGTATTTCAGTAGTCACATCAAAATATTATATTTTTTTAAAGTTTTAGCAAAATAGAAGGAATTAAAATGCTGATGCAATTGATATAAGAGAGAAAATATCAATATATTGCACTTGCTTGTTTCAAAGTATATCTCTAATAGCTATTATAAAAATAAATTTTATAATGCATACTTTTTATCATAGTTAGCATGTCATGATATTACTTTCCAGGAGAGATAAAATTTGTCATAAATTTTATTCAGTTTAATAAAATATTTACTAACACTATCATTTGCAGTATAATAATGAACTATTATTAAATAAAAGCATTAACTTAACACATAATAAGTCTTCATTCTCTATGTATATGCATATTATACTTGAATATCATTTTAGTTGGATGAAAATACTCATATGAAGAAGCAAATAGCTGTTGGACATAAATATCTCAAAGTATTCTTATACAAATAGAGTTATTAACTATAAAAATAACAAAGGTAGAATTAATCTTTTGGTAACTTATCTCACCATATAGTATAGAAATCATTGATGTAATTATTTATAGAAAATTCCAAAACAATGCTTTTTATCTAAAATGTTATGTTTAGCATTAATTTGAAAATAACTAAAAATAGTTGGCCAAGTGTATTTTTACAAGTTTAATTATAAATCCACTACTACTACTCAAACACAGTAAAAAAAAATTGGCAGTAGGATGATACCTATTTTTTGTAGAGTGTTCTAAAATTGTAATTTGTTTTGTGTAAAAATGCACATTTATTCTTAATTTTTAACCTACAAAGCGCTTATTCTTAAATAAGACATTTAAATTAATAATAAGCCAGAAAATGTAAAATTTAGTGCATTCAAACTTCACATTTAAGCAGTTGAACAATTTTGACTGTACCTTGTGTCGCAATCTTATTAGAGGCTGATACGATTTAAGGCCGTAACCTACTTCCTTGGATGATCTTCCTTCTGACTGCAGAAAAATGAATCCAAGAACAAGGACAGCTGACCGAAACCTAATCATCCTTGCTGTTTTTAACCTATCAAAATAAAAATTGCAAATTATCATAGAAAACAGGGTATATGTTAAAGAAATTTATCATTATATTCAATAGCTCACATTAAAATCTCAAAAGAACAACTTATTTTCGGTGCAATCAGAATTGACTCTTAGTGACCCTCCAGAGGGTTTGCTTTTTTTCCTTTTTCTTTTTAAATTTACTTTCTTTTTTTTAAACTTCACAACCAATTTGTTCATTCATGCACACTTTCTTCCCTCATTCTTCTCCTGCAATTCTCCTTATTAGACTATTAATTGTCGCACACATGGTTTCCAATCATAGATTTCTTTCAGAATGCTCTCCTTTTCACTCATTCCAGTGCAACATTCGTTATTAATTCATTATTTTCCTCTTCCTCCCTTATTTTGAGACAATTATTACAATAATAGACTTAGTACTAATCCCTTTGTGACTGAGATATTTCAATAATGTCTTCCAGACTTACTCACATTGTGTAGTGTTTTACAAGTTCATTATTTTCCAATGCTGTGTAGTTTCGCAGAGGGTTTTCCAAGACTATAAATTTTACAGAGAAGATTACCAAGATTTCTATCCTCAAACAAAGTGGATTTCAACTTTCAGAGAGACGCTGCCTTTGGGTTAACAGGACAATTCCCTACAGATTATTCATTGTTGTTGTTATATCCTGTCAAGTCATCTGCAACCCATAGCCACCCTACGTACAACAGCTATGACCCTGCCTTGTCCAGAGCCAATACCACTAATTCAGGCACACCAAACACCAATGCACCAGTTACTGTATTAATCCATCTCATCTGGGGCCTTCCTCTCCTGCGCTGTCCTTCTACCCTTCCAAGCATGATGTCTTTCTCAAAGGAGTAGTCATTCCTGGTCATGTGCCCAAAGTATTTGAGACTGAACTTCAAAATCCAGCCTCCAAGGAGAAACTTGCTTTCATCCACCCACACTAGGCTAGAGGCAGTCTACAACCAGGAAAGGATAAAATAGATGAATGGGACCTTCTAAGAATTGAATACTTAAGCACATCCAAAACCTTCACCAAGAGGGTAAAAAAGGAAGCCACATATTGGGAAAAACATTTGGTAATGACACATCAGATAAGGGATTTATATCTAGAATTTGTAAAATATTAGAGCACCACAGCAAGTTGTAATTGTTAACTACCTTAATCTCCTCTCCTTCTATCCCGGTGTGGCCAGCTGGTTCAGTGGTGAGAATCTTTGTCTTCTTGATGTTGATCTTCAATCCATCTCGAAGACTATAGTCCTTAACCTTCTGCAGCAAGCATTTCAGCTTTACTTCAGCTTCAGCAAGCAAACTTGTATCGCCTGCATAATGTAGGTTGTTTATGAGTCTTCCTCCAATCCTGATGCCACATTACTCATCATAAATCCATGCTTCCCTAATGATCTGTTCTACATTCAGATTGAAAAGGTATGGAGACAGGATGCATTCCTGACACACTCCTTTCTTGATTTTGAACCTTGCAGTGCTTCCCTGCTTTGTTCTGAGAGGACTGCTTCTTGGTCCAAGTATAGGTTTCACATAAGCACAATCAAGTGCTCTGGGACTCCCATTTTCCTCAAGGATAGCCACAGTTTGTTGCAACTCACACAATCGTCTTTGCATAGTCAATGAAACACAGGTAAGCATTCTTCTGGTGCTATTTTCTGCCAAGATCCATCTGACATTGGCGATAATGTCCCAAGTGCCATCACCTCTTCTAAATTCAGCTTGTATTTCTCTCAGAAATACAATCACTGTTCCAGTCATTTCTGGAAAATGTTCAGCAGGATTTTGCTCGTGTGTGATATTAGTGATATTGTTTGATAATTTTCACACTCTGTCAGGTCCCTTTTTTTTTTTTTTTTGAATGGGAATAAATATGTACCTCTTCTCTTCAGTTGGCCAAGTAGTTGTCTTTCAGATTTCTTGGCACAAATTGGTGAGCACATCTAGGGCAGCTGTTGGGTATTTTTCTTTGTTCATTTGTTTTTGTGTGGGAGTGTTGTTTGTTTTGTTTTGTTTTGCTTTTTAAAACCCATCAATTGGTATTCCATCAATTCCTTGGGCTTTATGTTTTGCCAAGTCCTTCAGAACAGCCTCAACTTCTTCCTTCATCACTATTGCCTCCTGATCATATGTTGTTTCTTGAAATTCTTCTGTGTCAGCCACTTCTTTTTGGTGCAATGCTTCCTGAACCACTCAATAGTCTGCTCATAGTATCCTTAAGCATTGTTATTCATGGCTTGAATTTGTTCTTCAGGTCCTTCAGCTTAAGAAATGCTGAGCGAGTTGGGTTTTTTGATTTTCCAACTCCAGTTCCTTGCACATTTCATTGTAATACTTTACCTTGTCTTCCTGAGCTGCCCTTTCAAGTCTTCTATTCAGGGGTGGGCAGGGAGAAAAGTGCAACAATGAATGAATATAAATAAAAAATATCTGTACTATTTCATTAAATTTAATAATAATAATAATTAATTTTTTTATATCTTCTACTCAGCTTCTTCGTTTCTTGATTTATTCCCTTTGCTTTGACTTTTCAGCACTGTGGTATTATATTCAGAGTCTCTTTTGATATCCATTTTGGTCTGTTCATCTTCCTTCTTTACAATAGGTTTTTCATTCTTCATGAATGACATTCTTAATATCTTCCTACCGATCATCTGATCTTCATTCACTAGTGTTCAAGGTTGTAAACCTGTTCCTGAGTTGGTTTTTAAATTCCAGGAGTATAGACTAAAGATCAAATTTTTATTCCTGTGGATATGATTTAACCTTCATTAGCTTAAATTTGAACTTGCATATGAGTACTTGATGGTCTGTTTCATTAGACTTCCCTAAAAATTTTAATAGATCTAACCAATCTTGCTACCAATTGTCAACTGAATCCATATTATTGGTATATTTGATATATTTAGTATATCCTTGATCCTATAAAATAGCTATAATTTCATGCACAAATGCAAAGGTACAAAAATATACAAGAAAACAATATTAAGAAATTGAAATAAAAGGGAAATAAAAGTAAATAAATCACAGTTTCAGGTAAAGACAAATATAAGTAGTTCATTATTAATTTTCTAAGCATCAGTAAACTTAGTTATCAACACTTATGATTGGGATTAATTTAGACTCATGAGTAAGCTGTATTATGCAGATGACACAGTCTTGCTTGATGAAAGTGAGGAGGACTTGAAGTATTTATTGCAGAAGATAAAGGAATGCAGCCTTTGGTCCTTTGATTGCATCTTAATGTCAAGAAAATGTAGATTCTTACCACCGGACCAATACAGGGTCATAATAGATGGAGTGGAGATTGAAACTGTCAACACCTTTTTCTTACTTGGATCCACAATTAACAACTTTGGTACCAGCAGTCAGGATATAAGGAGACACATTGCACCGGGAAAGGCTGCAGTTAGGGACCTTTCCAAATTATTGAGGAGTAGTGATGTCAGTTTGAGGACTAATGTGAATCTGCATCAGATCATAGGCTTTCTGATTACTTACTATGCATTTGAGAGCTGAACAACGAGTAAGGATAACAGAAGACTTGACATCTTTGATCTGTGGTGTTGGGAAAGAGTACTGATCATACCATGGCTGGCCAAGAGAACAAATTTATATATATATATAAA